AGGAGGAGGAGGAGGAGGCAGAGGAGGAGAATTATCATGGGGTCCTTAGTGCTCTCTGAGCTTGGTGGTTTTCTTGCAGATGTTTCATGACTCAACTAGGTGACATCATTAGTGCTAGAAAGGAGTGGAGTTTGCTCCCTGTTCAGATACACATGACTTGCCCTGTCAGTGTTGGTGGGAGTGGTCTGGATGCTTCCTTGATTAGGCTTTTGTTAACTGTTGCATTGTTTGTCTGAGTTGGTAGTTCCTCAATTGGAGTGTTGTTGACTTCTTGATTGTTGGTCTCGTGTCCATCTGTAATCTCTGCTTATCTGGGTGTTGATTGCTGGACGCTGGAAAAAAAGGTGTTCTGATCTTTTTGTTTCCTTTTTGGCTTTTTGATTGACTCTTTTGAGTGGTATGTAGACGTCGTTTATCTCGATGTGATCGTTTATGGCCAATTTGTCTGAGACCAGCGGGCTTCACCCTAAGCCTTACTTAGGGCACCTATGCAATTATTCAATAAACGGGAGAAAGAAACTAAAATCTATGTTTTATGATCTAAGGGAGGTTGGACCATAGACACTTAACAGCTTAAATAACTTAACAGCTATCTCAATAGTGGTCATAAGTGGAAAACTACCTGTGTACCATCAATGGCAAGAAATAAATGTTTTGATTCTTATTAAAAGGTTGTGTGTTCCAGAATAGACTGTCCTTTTCATAAGGGAGTTGTGTCCTTTATTTTAATTTGAAAACATTTCAATGAAAGTTTTCTCTGAATGAATACTTCTTTGTGGTTGGGTAGGTATTGAACAAACAGTGCTCAGATACACACACACACACACACACACGCACATATTTTCAACCTGCTTTGAAACCTGACCTCCTGTGTGGTCCAGTAAACTCAGATTCCAGCATAAAGGGCAACTTGTATTATTGAATTTGCAGTGTTGCAATATCTATGCCCAGTTATAATTCCACCTCAGCCAGAGGCACCCACAATTTGTGTAGAAAAAGGCAGCCGTTTGTGCGATTGCGAAAGGAACCTTTATATCCCATTAAAGGCATAACGTGTTGACTTTTAGTATCCACTGGAAAGAACGGTTAATATTTCTGTGCCTTAAGTGCGGTAAAATGGCCATTAGGTAGGTAGAGAGGTCATCCATTAACGTGGAACAGGAACGGCCATGTGGGAGAATCAATAGAAAATACAAAGATTGTTTTGTGTTTTTTTTAATATCATTTCTTGGAGATCTGCCCTTTAGAGTCAGTGGGCCTTGTTCTGGGGAATTTGATGGTCAAGACTTCAGGATGAGGGTCAGCAAAAACGAATCAAACCAACATGCAGGATCATAGCCTTCAACCATACTCAACTGAGACACCATGATGGAACAGAATATATCACTTAAGAAGAGATTAGACCACTGGTGGGATTCAATTTTTTTTTACAGTGGTTCTGTGGGCATGGCTTGGTGGGCGTGGCAGGGGAAGGTTACTCCAAAATCCCCCTTCCCTCCCCACCCCACTAACCTGCTTTCCTGCTCCGTTCTCCTGTGCAGGGCAACCAAAGGAGACTCAGCCGATCAGCTGGGACTCAATGGGAGGCAGAGAAGAGATGGGGTTGGCGGGGCCAGTCAGAGGTGGGATTGGCTGGTTCTCCAAACTACTCAAAATTTCCGCTACCAGTTCTCCAGAACCGGTCAGTACCGGCTGAATACCACCCGTGGATTAGACAGCGATTGGCCTGGAATGGTATATGACCTCCTGCTCAAGCAGGAGGTTGGACTAGAAGACCTCCAAAGTCCCTTTCAACTCCGTTCTTCTGCATTCTGTTATCGTATCGACTTGCTGAGAAGCCCCACATTTCAACTTAGCCTCCCACAGAATGCCAGACCCCATAAAACATTCTTCCACCATGCTTCCATCTTTCAGAATCACTTAACAACACACCCCTGTTGATGTTTGGAGCGTTGTGGATCTCAGAGAAGCCAGGCCTCCCCTGCACTTCCTAGGACGGGGGAACAAAAGCAGCTAGAAGGGAAGGCTGTTGTCCAAGATCCTCCAGCTGACAGTCACCATCGCGGCTGGACAGCCTTTTCCTTCCCTTTGGCTCGGCTGCAGGTTTTACAGACTCCTATGTGGTATAAATTGGAAGCATACGCTAGGCGAGGAGAGGATCCAACACGGAGTTCTGGTTTTGGTTAGGCTCGGAATGGAAAGGATTTGGCCCGGCCATCTTCATCTCCTTCTTCGGTGCCAGCCTTGGGAAGGATATCAGCTCGTTGGCAAGGTTGTAGAATAATAGAAACTAGAGATGGCAAAGACGAGAGGACCACACGGGCGATTTTCCCCAACAATACCGCTCTGTTCTCGGTATAGTCTGGAGGGGAGGTTTCGATTCTCTCCTTTTCCCTCTAGCTTAGTTTAGTCTACATTTGAGGAGCTTCGCGTAAATACTGGAACAGGTGAGATTCCTGGAGGGAAAACCTTCTCTTTGTTTTTCCAAAGCTAGTTTCAGGGCGCTGGATCCTTCGCGCGATCAGAAAAGGGGGAAAATTCTTTTGTCCCACAAAAGGACGTGAGTCCTAAGAGGTCCTCTTACTTCTGGTGAGTAATTTTCTGTCCTCCTCCCTCCTAAAAAGCCACCGGGATAAGCCTGCAAACCTCAGGGTGCCATAAAACAATAAGAAAATTATAAAAAGGCTGGCAAAACCATCGTAAAAGGTTGACCGTGCCAACAAATCCTGAGAATAATAGAGGACCTGAGATGGCAAAGCTGTGTTTGAAAGCCATAGAGAGGATGGTGGGTGGGTAGGGGCTACATAGAGGGGTCCTTAATTTTGGGTTGGCCCAGAAGGAAATCACCTTCTTCTTAGCCTGAGGAGATTTCGGTTCTTTTAGCAGCAGGGCTTAAAGCTGAGCTTCAAAACATGCAAATGAATTACTGCAAATTTCAATTTCTCAGGGAGAGATGCTTTCCCCACAGCCTTACCTGGCTTTCGTTGCAAGAGATGGGCTGTGGAAAGAAAGAAAGAAAGAAAGAAAGAAAGAAAGAAAGAAAGAAAGAAAGAAAGAAAGAAAGAAAGAAGGAAGGAAGGAAGGAAGGAAGGAAGGAAGGAAGGAAGGAAGGAAGGAAGGAAGGAAGGAAAGAAAGAAAGAAAGAAAGATACCGGCTTTGTAGGTAGACAAA